CTGTCCCCCTGCCAGCGGGGCGGGCTGGCCAGGAAGGCGGCTAACAAGGGGCCGGCTAACGAGGCAGCCTGCAGGCTCTGCTTGGGGCTGGGCTGGACAGGGCGCGCGCGCACGTCATGCGAGTGTGTGGAGGGGTCTGGCTGCTTACAGCTCTGGTGTCTGGTTTCAATAAGACCAAGCATGAGTGTGTTTGCTGGGGGCGGGGGTGTGGACATAGTTTCAGAGCTGATGGAGCAGGGGAAAACGAGAGGCCTGGACCATGTGGAGCCAGTGTGTGACCAGCCGGGGACCCCAGCCTGCCTTGTATCCCAAAAGCACACAGCTGGGGAGGTGGGTGGCATGGGCGGCCCTTGCCTGTGGGGCACACGCATGGTGAAGCCTGGGGGGGTGAGGGGGCCAGAGGAGCGCCCATGTGTCCTTGCGCCCGCCCCAGCGCACTCCTCCTCCCTCATTCCCCATCTGTACTCCAGATGCTCCCCAACAGCAATCATGGCTCTCCCATCACCCACAGGGCACTGGGACCAGCCCCCTGCCTGTCCCCTGTGGCGCTGGGACTAGCTCCACACCTACCCCACAGGGTGCTGGGATTGCCCACAGCTACCCCATGGGGTGCTGGGACCTGCCCCCACCTGCCCCATGGCATGGTGGGATCACTTGCCCCATAGGGCCACCCTGCCCTGCCTGCCTATACCGTGTGTACGTGTGTGTGCATGCACCAGAGTGTGTGTGCCCCCTGCAGTGCGTGTGTGCATGCATGCCTTGCTGCATGTGCATGCATCCCATAGAGTGCATACACGTATGCATGCGTGTGCCTCCTTGCACGTATCCTTGCGTGTGCCAAGGAGAGCTCTCCTTGCTCTCCATCCAGCCCTGCAGGCTGTCCCCAGCCCTGAGCACAGCTGCCTGTGTCCCTGGCGCTGTGCCCACCCAGCCCTGCACAGTCTTTCCCCTACCTACTCCCTGATGGATTGGCCTCTCGCCTTGCACCTGCACCTGGGGCTCCTTGCTCCTGGACCCAAGGCCTTGCCCTGCCAGTGCCCAGCCCCTCACTCCTGCAGCTGCAGGCAGGGCCAGGCAAGGGCAAGCAGGGGCAGGGGGAGGGGCAGGTAAAGACAGGCAGGGCCAGAGGGTGGGCAGAGGCAAGTAGGAGCAGGGCTTGGTCGGAAGCAGGGGGCAGGCAGAGACAGGCATGGCTAGGCAGCGGCCGGCAGGACCACAGGACAGGTAGTGACAGGCAGTGGCAGGCAGCAACATAGGGCAGGCAGAGACCTGGGACAGGCAGGGACACAGGAAAGACAGAAGCAGGCAGAGACACTGACAAGACAGGCAGGCAGCAGCAGGGAGGGACACGGGACAGGCAGGGGCAGGCAGCAGCATGTAAGGACATGGGACATGCAGGGACAGGCAGCAGCAGGCAGGGACATGGGACAGGCAAGGGCAGGCAGCGGCAGGCATGGCTAGGCAGCAGCATAAGTCGGGGTCTCAAACTCCAGTGGGGCAGCTGCAGCCTGGGGAAGCAAGCAAAATTCTGTGGATCCCTGTCTGCTGGCCTCCTGGGGCTCGCCAGTCAGTTTACCACAATGCACCATGAAAGCTTTTCCAGGGAGCCAACTGAGGGACAGTTGTCCACACTACTGCATACTCCACGCCCCCGCTGCACTTGGACATGATGGTCTGGAAAGGAAGTCACTAAAGTCAAGCTAGTGAGGGTTGTTTTGGGACTGGGGAGGCACTGGTTGGCACTGGGCAGGTCTGCATGTGGGCTGCCCATCAGTGAGGCAGACCACCACCCTGGCCATGATGGGAGGCAGGGGAAGAAAATGGGAGGACTGTCCAGGACATAGGGATCCCACCCCAGGACACGCGGGTACTGCCCTGGGATATGTGGGTACTGCCCTAGGGCACATAGATATTGCCCTGGGACATGGGGTATCACCATGGGACACAGAGATACGGCCCCAGGACAGGGGTGTACTGCCCCAAGAGACATGGACATCACCTCAGGCCATGTGGATAATGCAGTGGGACATGTGGGTACCACCTTTGGACACGTAGAT